GGTTTAGGGTTTAGGGCTCTTAAAGGGTCTATCCTACACCATAAGGTAGGCCTTATAGACTCTAGGGCTTTAGAGTTTTAGGGTCTTGGGTTTTGGGTGTTAGGGTCCGGGGCTTAAGGTTTTAGGGCCCAGGGGTTTTATCCCACTTGGATCATAAGGGACTTGGTAAGTGGGGTGATAGGTACCTGAATTGGGGTTATTGGGAGATATGATACTTACTTCCCAATAAGCCAGGGAAATAAAAGGTTAAACTTCTTTTTCAGGTTACTACTAAGTTATAAGAACCCAAAAAGTTTATAAAGGTTGGGTATTGGAGGACTAAAGATATAACATAGTTTTCTTAAGGGGGTTTACCCTAAACCCGAAAGTCACCATACTGTTAGTAGGGGCTTAGGGTGTAGGGCTTAGGTTTTGCGGGGTTGCCCCTAACCCTTAAGGTCACTATAAGGTTACTACAAGGGTGGTTGTAAGTGTTACTCCAAGTAAGGGCAGTATACGGGCACTCTTAAGGTTTAGGGTCCAGAGGCGCAGGAATGAGGAGGCTGCCATCCAAGCAGGTGCTAGTGCCGAGGGCGAGCCAACACTGCAACTGCTTTGACGCACGTGTCAGAATCCAATAATGTCGATTGATATGGATGAAACAAGGTCTAAAGTTTAGGGCTTAGAGGTTTAGGGATGTTTGGGGTTTAGGCTGGTTTTGGGTTAACGGTTACAAGCAAGTGTCGGAGTTTAGGGTTTGGCCACCGGCTTAGGGGTTGGGGATGTTTAGCTAGTTTTGGACTGCTGACAGTTACCTGCTAGAAGCCAAGCCATAGGGTTTAGGGGTTAGGGTTTAGAGTTTAGGGTTTAGGGTGATTCAGGAACTTGTAGAACCAACCCTGATTTGGGGTCCCTCATGTAAACTTCAGCCCTTTTCACATCTAGGTCTAGGACAGACAGGGACTGGGCTATGCACGCAGTGTGTAGCAGTTGCCGGTGCATGATCGTCTCAAGTCTGCCGCTATAGCCCTGAGCCCTGGACATCGAACCTCCAACAAGCACACGCCTCAATTTCTCAGGCCCTGAAGAACCCTAAACCCTGAACCGGGTAGGGTTGAAGGCTTGCTGAGCTCTGAGCGGAGGTTGCGGACGACCCACGTCTGGGAGATGCATCCGTCACCTTATCGACTTTGCAACTACTGTATGGTGAGTGATCTGACTGAAGATCCCTTTGAAAGGTCGCTCTTACAACTTATGAAGAAGTGCTTTAAAGTAGCTTTAACAGCCACCGTGCATTGGCAAATGCCCCCAAGCAGCCATCTTGCAGAATGGGGCGGGACAATAACATAGAGGCCTACACGATTATGCATATATTCCTCTAGGGTTTCTTAACCCTAAACCCTAAAAGTTCAACTAATATATACCCAAACGCATATCCCCAACCGCTATTCTACTTACTAAAGCGCCTGTACGAAGGACCCCCCCCCCCCATCCTCCAATAAGAACACCCTTACAGTAACCCCTTGAAGAGGAGCCCCTAAAGAGAAACCCTCACAAGAACCCTTAAAGGAACCCCTAAAGGAACCTTTAAAGGAACCCTTAAAGGAATTGTTAAAGAAACCCTTAAAGGAACCACTAAAGAAACCTTTATAAAGGAACCCTTAAAGGAATTCTTAAAGGAATCCTTAAACAGGAACCCTTAAAGAAACCCGATTCTGACCATCAAGGCGCCTGTCTTACACCAAACAACTACAAGGCTGCCTCAACCTTTCTCCCTGTTAGAAAGGACAAAGAACAGGACACTCTTCTCTGTGCTCCAGCTTAAGGGTTTAGGGTTTAGGGTTTAGGTATGCGGAAAGTTTGAGGATTTATACGTTTAGGGTGTGGGGGGCCCTCTTTTAGGAACTTAGGAAGCCCTAACAAAGCAAAGGTTTCATGTCGACCAAGAAGCATGCTCAGGCGTTTAGGGCTTAGGGCTGAGACGTCCCTTACGATACCTCCACAGCCTCTCTCGCAAAAACAAGCCCTGTGTAACCTAGGCGGCCAAACCGGGGCGCTGCATACTGGGGGTATAGCTGTTGGGATTAGGGTCCAATTCTTGCGTGCCTTGGCAAACTTCCTGCCGCAATAGACGGCACGTGACTGGCATGGCCAAGCCGTTAACTCGTCCTGCATCTGCAGCATCGTGGCATGCATCCAACTCAGCCCAAATCCTTGAATCGTCCACTCCCAAACACTGAACCCTAATCTCTTATCTGTAACGAAAACTGTAGTTTGAATGAAAGAAGCTGTTGCCTTGTCGTAAGCCTACAATCTCGCAGAACCACTCAGGAGGTACCACGTTGCGGTGGTGAGAACCACGTGGCGCCAGCCGCTGGGCACACCCTGAATCTTGAATCATAACCCCCTTAGCTTGGCTGACTTCTGAACACCTCTAAAAAGTTAAACTTTTGGTCTCCTTATTATATGGTTCATATAGAAGCCCAAAAAGTTCAAGTCCTCAGAGCCAACCAGAAGAACACCAAGTTAGGGCTTATGAGTTAGGGCTGAGGGTTGAGAGGGTTTAGAGGTGTTGGGCCATATAGGCCATATCAAAACCCAATGAAACCAGTACTACCATTCATATGGGGGTTCCCGAAAATAGGGGACCCTAATATCGTACCCTAAATAGTAGGATCCTTATTATAAGGACCCCAAAATAAGGTACCCCTTATTTTCGGAAACTCCCATATCCAAACCAGCCGTAAGTAAGACATCCTAACATAACCCTAAACCCTAAACCCATAAACCCTAAACCCTAAACCCGAAACCCCTAGATCCCTAACCCTTAAACCCTAAACCCTAAACCCTAAACCCGTAAACCCTAAACCCTAAACCCTAACCCCGAAACCCCTAAACCCCTAACCCTTAAACCCTAAACCGCTAAACCCTAAAATGGCTGAGGTAGCGACTCCAAAAGGGTCTGGGTAGCCGCCTCCAGACCTGATGAAGTTTAAGGTTTTGGTTTCGGGTTTAGGGGTTTAGCGATTAGATCAATTTTAAGGTTTTGGGTTTCGGGTTCAGGGGATTAGGGGTTTAGGGGTTTAGGGGTTTAAGGTTTTGGGTTTAGAGGTTTAGGGGTTTAAGGTTTTGGGTTTAGGGTTTGGGGTTTCGGAGTTTAGGAGTTTAGGGGTTTAGG